TTAATTTAAAATTTATATTCTCACAATCCAACACAAAACTCGTTTAAATAAATTATGAATCAATTTCTTTAAACTAAAACTTGAAATAACTTGATTCAATAAACTCAAAAATAAAAATAATTCAAGTCAAATTCACTCGACTCAATTTATTTCTTAAATATAATTTTTTTTTCTAATTTGATTAGAACCGTTTAATGTGAAAAAAAGCCTACACATTTAGAGGATCCTCTCTATCCAAATGTCAACTTTGTGTAGTCTAACATATCCTACATTTCATAAATAAAATTGTAAATTAGCCTAATTGAGTACCTCAGCACTCTAACTTGATATTTAGTAACAAGCATGAGCTTCAATTTAACTCAAAAGTGAGCTAGAACATACTTAGAGGAGCTTGAGTAGCTTGCGAGTTTTCAAAAAAAAAAAAAATTTAACTATACATTCAAGTTTACCTTTTTTTTTTTTTTTAATGGAAAAGTTTACCTCAATTTTGAATCAACGGGGAGCAAAACTGGCTTAGCCGCCTGTGCACAAAACATTTATAATGTGCAGAAACAATTAATTATCCTCTAAATTTAACAATAAAAAATAATTAAAAAAAAAAAGGTGAAAACAATATCCTCTAACGTTGATTCTGTTCCGACACGTGTCCCGCAGTAAAATTATTGGGAAGAACATCCCTTGGACCCCACATTTCATGTAAAAAGAAAAGCCCTCTAATAATCTTTCTTTACCTCCCCTCCCCCTTTTATTTTTGACCATAGCAACCACCCAATGATCTCATTCACACTTACCAAGTACACCCTTCCCCTCAAATCCCATTTTCAACAAATCTAACGGTCAAAATCACATCATACTCTTTTGTCATCTTCCCTTACAAATTGATTTTTTAGAGGCCCCACCTACAATCCAGTTTCCCACAAATTTCCATGTACCACGTGTCTAAAGTGATTAAAACTACTTTGCTTTGGGTCTGAGCGGATTTTAGGATAAAAATTGCCCAAAATCTTAAAAGGGGTGAGAGAGAGTGTGCAAAGTGTGAATGAAGCAGAAGTGTACAGGTTGAAGAGAGAGAGAGAAAGAGAGAGAGAGAGAGAGAGAGGCTGTTGTCTTACCATCTGAGGAATCAAAGAATCTTTTTTTGAGGAAGAGCAAGAGGGAGGAGGAGAAAGTGCTTCTGGGTTTTGCTTAGATTTCTTCATTCTCTTCAGTTTTCCTTGCATGAGGTAGGCTTGATTCAGAACAAACCCAGTTCAACATTTTGTAGTGGTTTTGCTATGCTGAAAATTTTTTTTCTTGTTACTTGAATCTTAGATTGTAAAAATGCTTGCTTTTTTTCTGGGTTTTTGCGCTTTCTTGAAATCTTGGTGCTTTATGTATTGTTGAAGAAAAATGGTTGTCTTTTGATTCAGTACTTCTATCGTTTAAGACTATGTGTTGTCCTTTTCTAACTTTGCCCTTGATTTACTATTGGGTATCTATTTTTGAGCAATTTGGGAAAATGAAGGTCACAATGTGAAATTAGAAAGTGTTCTTGAATGGGTTCCTGTTAAATTATAATGGGCACTGTTTAGATGGGAGAAACTTTGCTGTTTCTTTTAATTTCTGAGTTCAATGGGCTGCTAGATTTGAATAAATATAGTTGCAGTTTTGCTGCTTTGGGTGAGTGAAATAGTGCTACTCGAAGTTTAATGGGGGAAATTTTAGTCAACTGGTAGTCTTCGTTAGATCTTTTTGAAGTTTTGTTGTGAAGTCTTCATTAGATCTTATGTTGCCTAGTTTCCCTCTCTGAGATGTGTATGTGACTTAATATGTGCAGTGTTGAACGGGTAGGATATAAGGGCTTCAGTTTGTGCTTTGTTCCTGACATATATAACTTGGTTATTGATGCCCTGGTTTTGTCACATAAAGTTTTTGATTCCTTCAAATTCTATCTTTTCTTGCAATGGTAGACAACCTTGATCTGAGACAAATTTGCAACTCTATAGTCTGAATTCACTTTCTCTCCTTTAATTTTTTCTAATAAAAGAATAAATGTAGCATTTGGGAAGGATTTGATTTAATATTTACTACACTCTTGAAAGTCTCTTGCAAATGTATTAGCAGTTTAAACCTCCTTTAGAAACCAAATGTTAATATATACTTTTGGAGATTGGCTGATCTAATGCTATATTGTGTTGATTCTGCCCACGCAATTTTCCTACACAAGGCTTGCCATATCTCTTTCAATTCTACTACCACACTTTGGGGGGTGTATCGTGCTTCTCATATTTCTGATTTTTCTACGGTCCTTGCTTACAAGTTTTTGTTCCTAGTGCTTGTCTCTTATTGAATTTATCCTCTTTTCAAGGAACCAGAGACTTTGTATGCAGGTATGTTGGAGAATTGATATTTTTCTGTGTGTGGTTGTGTCAGTTTGCTTTTGCGTGCATAGATGCCCCTCAATCTGCATATAATTAGATGTCATGCTATCTCTAGATGTGTGAATTCAGTAAATATTGTGGCATTTATGTGATTAATCACTGTGCTGTCCTAGATCTATTCTAATGTTAAAAAAAGTCATAATGGGAAGGGGGTTAAGTGCTGTTGCCTAAAAGCTATTGGCATTGTGGACCATATTAGAGCCACCAGGTACGTTAATGGCCTCTTAAGGATAAATAGATTTGGACAGTGGTTTGAGGGCTTTGCCCTTCGTTCCTAATGACTAGCATTTCCACCCCACCACGCGAGGTGTTTGTAATGTATTGAGTTTGTGAAAGAAGAAATATGTGAAGTATTATGTTCCTATATTATAATAATGTGTACAAATTTCAATTTTTTCTATCAAATTCTCTTGTATCTTACACAAATAAATATTGATCAACTTTTGCTGATATGAAAACAACTTTTCAATATTTATAACCACCTAAATTCACTTCATCTATCCTTTTTTTCAACTCCCTGCTTCTAATGCTTAATTTTTAACATGCATGGTGCATTTTTAAAGTCAAGTTTATCTATAATTTTATATACTTAATTTTTCATAATATAGGAGATGGTCAAAATCGTGCAGAATCTGAAGTTAAATTAAAGTGAAAAATTTTCAAATTATAATAAAAAAATACCAGTACCAACCTAATAGGGTACCATGCATTTCAAATTTCAATCATCACAATGTCATCCAAAAATTCAAGCCTAATTGTTCAAATTTTTAACTACTCAAAATTTTTAATTAATTGAAGGACTTAAAAGTTGTAATGTTATAAGTTTTGAGGGTTTAATCATTAATTTAACCTCTTCAATTTCTATTTACTTTTATCTTTTAGTGGTGTGTACCACTTATAAACTAAAAAACCCTACAAATTTTCATAAAATTACTAAAAGACCATAATTTCAATCAACCAGAATGCCCTCAAACCCCAAATAATTTAGAAAATTGCCACCAGCCTTTGACTTTCTAGAGAGATAAAGGAACAAAAGGAGAGAGACAAAAGAAGAAATGTTGACTCTACCCTCCTTACACTACTTTGGATTATTTTGTCCTATGATAAGTCAGCTCTATTAGCAGCCTTTAAAAGGATTTGTAGCTTCTCTAAACTCCAGCATATGGACCATGGTGGTGGCAAATTGCACTGCGCTGTAGCGATGCTTGTTTTTTCTGTTTACTTTGAGATTGGTAAGAGATAATGCCAATCTGTTTTCTTTTTTAAGACAAAGTAGTTGGTTTGAATATTATTATAGATTAAATTCCTTTTTATTTAAGCAATATGTTTTTATGAATGTGAAAATGATGTAGTTTATGATCATATTCATATTCTTACTTCCTATTATTAATTCAGAATTAAAAGGTTTGAACGGCAGAGCACAATTTTTATGTTGTAATTCATCTTGCTGCTGGTGAATGTTTGTTTGATTTCACTTATGTAGCTTCCAAGGATCATCTTCTGGATTTTTGATTTGAGAGAAAATTGGACATGAGTATGCTTGTTGGGACATGCTTGAGCCAAGGGAAGCTGATATACCTGTCCTATTTCTGGTCTTGGTTGTGCTTCCTCTGGTTGCTTACTTCTTGCTTGGGAAATGGAGTGAGGCTGCAAAGAAACAAGAGAGGATAAGTTTGCTTGCTCAGCTGGCTGCTGAAGAAGCTTGTAGAGCAGAAGCGATGGCAGCTGCAAGTGTTATTCCATTAGTGCCTTCAGTAAAGAATGGACTCCATGTCTGTGCCAGGTGCTCTGGTCCAGCTACAACCCGCTGCTCCAGATGCAAGGCTGTTAGATATTGGTATATTTTATTCCTGTTGAAATGCAAGAATAAGTTTTCTTTATTTAGTATTTAAAACAAAGTGCACTCCTTACAAGCATTTACATGCAAGAAGCATCCAAGAAACATCAATTGTATTTTTTGTGTTGTTTGTCTTGCATCATTTCTAATGCTGTAGGATGTTCTATTGTATACTTCTGTTAACATATAAATTGGGATTTCAAATGTCTCACCTTGGTTTTTTAATTTCTAAAATTTTTTAGAATAGACAAATCTTAGATAAGATGCCACATGAACTTGATTTTCCAGTCAAGCAGTTGAAAAGGGCTGGTATTGCTCTATTCATGTATGGTTTCTCAAAAAAATTTATGGTTATGACGTTGACAACACTAGCTCAAATTTTTGAGGTTCATGTCATTGGGAAAACCATGTCATGGAAGGATAAAGTATTTATGTTATAAATATTGATTGTATCATAATTACTTTAAAAAACACCCAATTATGTGCTATATGTGTTTTAGGCTGAGTTGAGTAGGATTTTTGTTTATATAAAAATATATGCTTTCTGCTGACCAAAAAATAAAAAATAAAATTGTTTCTTGTTGACTATACGTTGTCTTATATCCTTATTTTTGAAGATTAATTATATTCACAATTCACATCTTGTATCCATAATGGGTAGTTTGTAGTTCATCTCTCTTCAAAATACTGCATGTTACATCATAGCACCTTGGTCTCTCTCTAACACCTTGGTGTGTGTCCCTCTAACACCACTGCATGGTTCTTTCACTTGATCTGTTGGTTTCAATTGCATTATTCACTCTCTAAAACCATAGTCTCTGTCCTTGTTTTCCTATTGGATGGTTGAGCTTGGCATATTTTGAAGTCTCTTAATTATGAGACACATAACTCTTGTGCAGTTCTGGAAGGTGCCAAATTATTCATTGGAGGCAAATTCATAAGGAAGAGTGCCTACAAATGGAGACTTCTGGCTCAAGTGCTTCTCCTAAATTTGCACCATTTGAAGACTCTGTACTACTTGGTGACAGCATGAACGAGCAGTTTTTTGGGTACCTTAATAAGCATGCTGTTGTGGGTAAAGAACCTTCAGATGATCTAATACATTCTTCAATAAATATTGGTGCCTTGTCTTCTGTGAATTGCTCCCAGGTTGATTACTCCAAAAGCTCTTTGGGGGAGAGCAGAATTTCAGATAAGAAAGTTTCCTGGAAGTCCAACAAAGAAATATCACGAAGAGAGGATACAGCTGGTTTTGATTCTTGTGATTATGCCACAAGGAGAAGGGCTACCAATTTATCATCTGCTAATAGTAGTACTTCACAAGATGCTTTTATAAGGCACAAGGTCATTTTTCACTTCTTTATATCCCATGCTTTGGTTTTCAAATAACTGTGTGATTTCTGACAATTACTTAATTACCTTAAACTGTGGCTGCAGTTGAGAAGTAATGATTCTACTTTATCAGAAGAAATTTCAAAACAGCGGAATGCTGATGGCACTAATGTGCATCTTTATGGAGATAGTGAAAGGAGTACCATGAATGAGAATCATACGTATCAGGCCCAACATGGGGACCTGCCAGAACCAAGAAGCAATGGTGAATGTTCAAGCTCGTCATATTTGGAAAAACCAGGGGCAACTGGGCATGAAACTGAAAACAATGTTGTTTTGAACAAAGGAAATTTAGTTCACAATACTTTTCATGATGAAACAGTGGACTTGAACCATTCTGAGTTGACAAGATCAAAGGGAGGCACAAGTAAGGGTTCACTGCCTGCTGGAACCAAAACCTCTAAATTACCAAAATCACCAATCAAAATATGCAGAGAACAACCATGCTCTGAAATAGGGGGGAAGGAGCAGGTTGGAGATGAATCAAGTAGGTTTTCTGAACCACTTCTCTAAATATGTACCTCTTTTGCTCCTTGCTTTCCTTATTCTTCATTTTTTGTAATGCAGAGATTTCTAGAATGCAAGGTGGCATCCCAGTGCAAGTGAGCAATGGGGTTGGTAAGATGGATATCATGAAGATGATGGGTTTGAGGAAGTCAACAAAACTTTCCAGGCAGGATGCCCCTGAATTCTTTGGCAATAAACCAAAGAAAATGAAGGTATGTTCCATTGATATTTAAGTATGTATGAAGTCAATTATGTCATTTCCTGTTTGAATTAGGCTGTGTTTCTGCTTACTAGGTTATTGTGATCTGAGTGGAATATCTCTCACTGCTACCTGCTTTCCTACTATCACAGATGTTGTTTCCCTATGAAGAGTTTGTGAAATTATTTCAGTATGAAGTCTTTGGTTTATCTCCAAGGGGACTTCTAAACTGTGGGAACAGGTAACAGGATTCCTACTTCTATGCCTTGCCATATTTGGTATCAGTATCAGTTTGGATCTAGCTTGTTGCTACCAAGAAATGAATATTTCTTAATAAAATTAAAAACTTAAAGGTCTGTTTCTTGATTGGCATATGTAGTTCAAGAATTGAAATGAAAAAATCCAAATAACATCGTCTTATTTTCTCAAATTCAAGAGCTAGATGTGCTGCAATTCCTCTGGTTGTTATTGAGCTAGTCTCTTGTACTTTGTTTTCAATTCTACGATCAGTTTGAAAATCTAATTTGTACATTAATTTGCAAGGTAGATGCAATTTGATACAATGGTTATTATGTTATATGTAATGCAAATGGTGAATTAATCGATAGCCTGACAAAAGTGGAATTTGTCATTTCTAACTAGTCTTTTCAATTTGTGCCATTGGCAATTTGGCATTGGATTTGTGCAGTAGTTATGGTTTCTTTTCATATGAATAAAAAAAAAACTAAAGAAAAGTGGGAAGTTTGTTTTATTTATTTGTTTATTTTTATTTTTATTTTTATTACCATTTCCTTTTTCATTTTTACTATTTATTGTGTTTACTTTATTCTGCAGTTGCTATGCTAATGCTGTCCTTCAGTGTTTAACCGGCACGAGGCCCCTGATCATCTATTTGCTGCGTAAAATACATTCAAGAGCCTGTACTTTCTTTTCTCTTGGTTCTCTTGTTAGTTTTATATTATTCAAAGCACAAAATGCTTCAGTGCTTAACAGGCTAACCTTTTGAATGCATGAAAGGCTATGGTAAAGATTGGTGTCTCATGTGTGAGCTTGAGCAACATGTGATGATGTTAAGAGAAAGTGGTGGAGCCGTGTCCCCTAGCAGAATTCTTTTGCATATGCGTAGTATTAATTACCAGATTGGTGATGGAAGTCAAGAAGATGCACATGAATTTTTAAGGTCTTGAATATTTTCTAGCCAAATCATTTTATCAAGTTTTGTTATTTGGTTCTCAGTTATGCTTCCCTTTACATCTGGTTTGTCCTATGTAACCATAAAAGATTCAGCTTAAAAGTGTAGACTTTCATGCCTCATTCGAGAATGTAAGTTTCATGCCTTATTCTTTTTGAAAGTTCAATTTTTTATCATATCATGTTGCCATCTCCAGACTTCTGGTTGCATCAATGCAATCAATATGCTTGGAGGGGCTAGGAGGTGAGGAAAAGGTGGACTCCAGATTGCAAGAAACAACTTTTATACAGCATACTTTTGGAGGCCGCCTTAGGTCAAAGGTATTTTTATAGATCACATGTTTTATGGAATCTATACAAGTTTTCTTTTGAAGAGACGTTTCAGTGTTGTCTTTTTAGTTATATATACTGATTTGTCTTTTCTTATCTTTATTTTCTACTTTTTTGTTTCTTGGGATAATTATGAGAACTTAATCTCCTTGCAATTAGGTCAAGTGTCTTAGGTGTTATCATGAGTCAGAGCGATATGAGAACATAATGGATCTCACATTAGAGATATATGGGCGGGTTGAGTCATTGGAAGATGCACTAACTCAGTTCACCAATCCTGAAGATTTGGATGGAGAAAACATGTATAGATGTGGAAGGTTTAAACTGATAACCTTGCTTTATTATGTTTGTAAAATATCCTATTTTATATAATAACATTGTATGATGAATTAAACTCATATAACTTACTGGCTTTATATATGTTTTGATAAAAAGGTGTGCTGCATATGTTCGAGCTAGGAAGCAATTGAGCATTCATGAGGCTCCAAACATCCTGACTATAGTCTTGAAGAGATTCCAGGTATACCATTCCAGATAGAGTTCATAAGCTTAAAAAATACATCTCCACTCTCTATTGTGGTAGTTGCTCTGTTAGTTTGATTTGTGCTTTGATGGCTTACTAGTTGCTTGCAACTTATGGTGTTCTTCACATATCGTTGGCTCTCAATTAAAAGTAAATAATATCTTAGCTTTATCTGTACTTCTTGGACATTTTGTCTGTGCTGTTATTGCAGTACATGTGTGCATCTCTGGGGCCATAAATGTTCACAACTACTTCTGTGTGTATCACCTCTGTTTAATTCTATTTTTAGTGAGTTGACCTGTTCTAATTTCTAAATTTGGGTTTTGCTTTGATCAGGAGGGAAGATACGGGAAAATTAACAAATGCATAAGCTTCCCTGAATTGCTGGATATGGTTCCCTTTATGACTGGAACGGTTGACATCCCTCCGCTTTACCTGCTCTATGCTGTTGTGGTGCATTTGGATACGCTCAACGCATCTTTTTCTGGACATTATGTGTCATATGTGAAGGATCTGCAAGACAATTGGTTTAGGATAGATGATACTGAGGTAAAATTTATATATTAATTTCCTTATTGTACCTTTTTTTTGGATACATGTGAAGTGGCAAACCCATTGATAAATTTCTTATTTTGTGAACATGCGTGGATTTGGGCCATCCTTGATCTTTTGATGTACCAGTATATAAACCTTTGAATTGTGTTTCTTTATAGGTTCACCCTGTCTCCATCAGTCAGGTGATGTCAGAAGGAGCATATATCTTATTTTACACAAGGTAGCAATCTTTTGATCTTTTACTGCTAAAGTACTGTCCAAATCTTTCACTTCACACACCCTTCCCATCTCTCTTCCCTTTTGGGATTTTGCATTTCTTTTCAAAGAATGAGATGTATATTTAAATATATATATATATATATATATGCAAAACCCTCAAATCCACCCTCAAAAAATATCTGTAGGGACACATCTACCCTTCAAAAAAAAGTAGGGACAAATTGCCCCTCCAAATCATAAATCAATACAAATCACCCCTTTTTCAGCGAAAAACGTCAAAATTCTGTTTGCCACGTTAGCATTTTTTAACAGAAAACGTTGAAAAAGGGGTGATTTGTATTGATTTATGATTTGGAGGGGCAATTTGTCCTTGCTTTTTTTTGAGGGGTGAATGTGTCCCTACCAATATTTTTTGAGTGTGGATTTGAGGGTTCTGCCATATATTTATATATTATATCTTGAGTCCACTGTTTTATAATCTGAACTGTACTGAACTATACCAAACTGTAAAAGAGAAACGAAAGAGGGCCCCCAATATCAGGGGCTCATCCCTCATCCAAGGGTCAATATTTTACAGTCTGGATTGTAAAACACTTTTTGTTATATCCTTATTACATCACTTTTTGGCAATCTGCAATATTAAATAAGCATCTTTTGTCATAGTTAGCTCTGCTGTATTTCATTTTGTTTTTGCCATGATCACATTTAGTTCTAAATGCTACTGTTTTCTTTCCTTTTCTAATGCTTATTATTTTTAACCTAAGATCATCTCCTCGGCCACAAAGAGCATTAACTGAGAAGGCTTGGCGGAAGCAAGCTTCAGTCCTTGCTCGGCACTCCACTTCAAAATCTGAAAAGCCTTCTTGTGCTGTGCAAAGCGAATCCAATGGTCACTTTGTTGTCTCAGAGCCTTATTCGGATCTCAGACCAGAAGTTGCTAATGGCTTTACCAACCAAATGTCAAATGGTATTCTTAGGCGGAGTGCAAACATGATGGAGACTTATCAGGAGCCAGCTGGTGTGGAGTTCTCAGATGCAACATCTAGTGATTGGTCACTTTTTACAAGCTCAGACGAGGCTTCTTTCACAACTGAGAGTACTAGAGACTCATTTAGTACCGTGGATTATGCGGATATGAGCAATGCGGATCCATTCTCAATCTTCAACAACTTATATGCTCCAGAATCCTCCTCATGCAACACAGTTTCCTGTAGGTTATTCTCAAATACCACTGCACAGACTAGATACATTCTAGAAGAGAAGGGCTACGTTGTTGAATCCTACGTGTCACCCCAACCTGTAAATGGAGCATTGACAGCAAGGAACTTGAAACGGGTCAGTGGATCTTCCGGTGAATTTCATTCTGACAGTAACCATGGCATGTTTGTACAATATGGGAGTAACCCAAAATACCCTCTCAATCAAACTTCTGGCCATTGTAAACCCTAGTTCATGGCAACCTTAACTGATTTTATTAGTTGTTTAGCCGGTTAGAAGTGATGCCTCAATTTTTGTTTTCAATGCTTTCTAATTGAGGCATGTGGATCATTTGAGAACATCCAAGGAAAGGATATTCTTCTTTGAAAATTGTATAGTGCCAGCGTTTCCCTTGGGCGGCGGCTGTTACATTTTAATTTTTAAGGGTTTATTTATTTATTTTTTCTTCAGCAATAGAATTCATGTTTGCTTTT